CTTACAAAGCACAATTACAAATAAAAATGCAAATGGCTAAAGCATATAAATAGTTGTGAGTAAAAATAGCATTCAAGTGTCAACAAAATTAGAAGTAATTAAAAGTCTGGCCTAAAAGCGGACTAACAGCACATTAAAGAGCTCTATTCCAAAAGCCTGCTGGAATTAAAAGGTCTTCATCTGCTGATGAAAGATGGAAATAACAGAGCCAGCACACCTTCCCTAAGAGAGGTTCTCGAGTCTGTAGTTTCCTGTCCTTGCCCTACATAAATGTCCACATTTAGCCAATTCAAGAAAGCTCAAATGAGCACTGAAGGTAAAGGTTTCCCCTGACATTAAGTCTAGTTGTGTCCGACTCTGGAGATTGGTGCTCATCTCCATTTCTAAACCGGAGCCAACATTGTCCATAGACACCTCCAAGGTCATGTGGCTGGCATGACTGCATGGAGTGCTGTTACCTTCCTGCAGAAGTGGTATCTATTGATCTACTCACATTTGCATGTTTTTGAACTGCTAGGTTGGCAGAAGCTGGCCCTAACAGTGGGAGCTCACACCGCTCCCTGGATTCAAACTGCCAACCTTTCAGTCAGCACGTTCAGGAGCTCAGCTGTTTAATGCTAACACAAAGCCACTGCACATATGTCAGCTTCTACAAGCCCCTCTCCATGACTTGGTTGCAAAGAGTGGAACTTTGTTAAATGAATTGACTGGATATAAGCCAGAGCAGATCTAGCGTTTCAGGAACTAGGAACTATTTCATTCATGTACATTAGACAGCACTCAAATAAGAAAAACCTTGAAGAACGAACCTAACATCAGTATTAATCCGCCGGAGCCCCCTGTGGCGCAGTGGGTTAAAACACTGTGCCGGCAGGACTGAAGACCGACAGTTCGCAGGTTCGAATCCAGGGAGAGGCGGATGAGCTCCCTCTATCAGCTCCAGCTCCTCATGCAGGGACATGAGAGAAGCCTCCCACAAGGATGATAAAACATCAAAAATCATCCAGGCGTCCCCTGGGCAACGTCCTTGCAGACGGCCAATTCTCTCACAACAGGAGCGGTTGCTCCTAACACGACAAAAAAAAAAACAAACAAAAAAACAGTATTAATCCGCTGACTCCTACTTCAGTTACAGCAGCACAGATTACAATAGGAACCTTATTGCACTGTCTACGTAACCACCTTTGTTCAAGGCAAATTGGTCCATTGGCTCTACAGACCTGAGCAAACAAAAGAATGTGCGAGAAGCTTGAAGAGAAATATGCATAAGGTGTGGAATAAACCGTGAATAAAAGTTAACCCAAGGAAGAAAGGACTGGTTGAAAAATGTAAACTTCTATATATTTTTTGTTATATAGTACAATATTTAACAACTAATGGCAATAGGATTACATACACAGCATATTATTATGCAATTTCTGAGGTTTATAAATGTCATAAAACATCACTGCTGCTGCCAGTAGCTCCCTTTAAGCAGGACCAAGTGCTAACATGTGACTCCATTTCATCCAAACAGAAACACTTCCATTGATTTTACAAGAGCTCTTAACTGTTAATTTTTGATGGCTCTTCTTTCAGTTTCACCTCCTAACCTTTCTCAATTGGCCACTTTCCTCACTTTAAGACAGCTGTTTAGAGTTCAATATTTATCACTTCCTTCTACCTATTCCTGTCTATTCATATTTTCCTCCCAGTCTAGAGGTCAAATTGAACACAACAGCTGAAGGATAGTTTGTGCTAAACAGAACAGTTCTATCGCTTTGATTTAAACCAGAAGTAGGAACTTTGTGGCCCTCCAGATATTGATAATAATATAGGAAGATGGAAGGCTCAATCTGACAACATCTGGAGGGCTATATATTCTCCAACCTCAATTCAAATTCTAAAGACTGAATTTTGCTGTGTCACAGTAATTGTTGGGGAGCTTTGTCCAGCGACAAGTCCACCCCCTTTTTAAACGGAAGCAATCCCCTTCTAGCAAAGTAGACAATCACCACATGTACCTTTGTAGAAAAGCTTTATATACAGTATTTACAAAAGTCTTAGCAGTTTGTTGACTCCCTTCCAGCCCTTCTTTGTAACACTTTAGACTCCTAGTAATTTCATATCTTCACTGTAGTATGTAGCTCTTTATCTTTGTTGATCCTTCGGTCTCTATCTCGAACTCCAGAAACTCAACACTCTGACCGCAACAACTCCAAAGCTCCAACTCACTCTTCAGCTTGTGCTTCTTTTATTACTCTTCAGCTACTCCACCCTGGCTTGCAAATTACTTAATAATGACCAAGTGGTTGAGTCCTTAATGCTAACTGCTGAATTGGTCCTGATTCTTATAATTACTGTCACTTCAAAAATGATAAAGTTACAAAACTATGACAATTTGAAGGAGTCCCAGAAGCCTTAGCACAGCTAACAAGAAAGGCTACAAAATGCAATCCAACAATATGATTCCCAATGCTGTCCTGACTAGAGCAGTCCCATTGAACTAGTGATTGAATAAGCCATCACTTATGTACATTTTGTTGGGTTGTTGACTTAATTATATAGCTGGGACTACTAGCAGTTTTCAGAAGAGCAATATCTACAAGGCTTGAAGACACAAACACAACCAATGAGATTTGCTTGTTTGAACATCTGATGTCCATGTCAAGCAGACTTGGTTGGGAACCCCTTAACTTGCTCTCTCATTTCAAAAACGGAACGGGCAGTTTGAGAATCCCAAGCTCCCTCCCAGATGTGTAGAACTATTTTTATCTTGTTGATCCTCACCTACATTACTTAGCGAGACGCTGACAGATCTAACAATTGAGAGAACTGTTTTGCTTGCATAGCCACTATTAAATGAAGCACTGAAAGGTTGGGTTTTTTTTAAAAAAGAAAGGGGTTGGAGGGGGCAAGGGGGAGAGAATAGAAGCCACTTAGCAGGATTGTACAGGCAGCAAGCTATTTTTGTTCCCTGAAGTGTCTTTAATCTGTATCCCTTAGGTACTTTGTAACCTTGATGAGAGCTTGAGTACCCTTGAGGCGATGTGTTCCAATTTGAAAATTACTGTTCCAAAGGATTCTTATCTGAAATGATGTCAATCCAGACCTATTGCACACAACAATTTTCTTGTGGCTCGCATCTGCCTTTTCTCTCTCCTCCCCGCTAAGCATAAACTATTCTTTCTAGGTGGACCTTTTAGCCACTGAAAGAGGGGGAAACAGCTGCCTTGCAGACAAATGTTAATAAATCCCAGTTGTCAAGAGTCAAGGGAGAAAAGAGTGATTGGATCTGAGTTGTGAGCACTCATTTTAGGAGAATGCTTTAGTCAAGGGCACAGCATACCACTGGTTTTACTCTTCTTGTTTCAACTTTGAAGGCTGAAGGGAATGGACTACCTACTAAGCAAATTACGGTAAGAAAGGAGGCAGTCACTGTGTTTCCCTATAACAGGGGCCCTCAAACTAAGGCCCGGGGGCCAGATGCGGCCCCCCAAGGTCATTTACCCGGCCCTTGCTCAGGGTCAACCTAAGTCTGAAACGTCTTGACAGCACATAGCAACAACAACAATCCTATCTTATCAGCCAAAAGCAGGCCCACACTTCCCATTGAAATACTAAAAAGTTTAATTATTGTATTGTTTTAAAGTGTTTTTTGCACTACAAAAAAGATATGTACAGTGTGCATAAGATTTCATTCATTTTTTTTCAAATTATAATCCGGCCCTCCAGCAGTTTGAGGGAGTTTGACCTGGCCCTCTGTTTAAAAAGTTTGAGGACCCCTGCCCTATAACAATGAACCTCTGTTGAGTATTATGTACATAAAGGAAGCAACTCCACACAGTGCTACATTTTGGTGGTCTCTTCCCCACCCTCTTCTCTTCCAATTAACAAGGAAGAATACATCAGACTTTCACCTCACTTTAGTTGATTCCTTTCTTGTTGTGTACCAGCCAGGAGTGTGGTTTAAAACAAACCCTAGTTTATTGTCGAAGGCTTTCATGGCTGGAATCACTCAGTTCTTGTGGGGTTTTTCGGGCTATATGGCCATGTTCTAGAAGCATTTCTCCTGACGTTTCGCCTGCATCTATGGCAAGCTTCCTCAGAGGTGAGACCTCTGAGGAAGCTTGCCATAGATGCAGGCGAAACGTCAGGAGAAATGCTTCTAGAACATGGCCATATAGCCCGAAAACCCCCACAAGAACTGAGAAACCCTAGTTTGTCCATTGTTTGAAATCATTTAGAAATTGAATCAAGTTTTTCAGGTACAATGGTCCCAAATTTACATGTTGGGGGGAGGGGGTAAAAGTATAACTGGGACCCAGTGCTGGTAGCGCTATGCTGGTTGCGCAATGCAGCTCTGAATTAGAGAAGGGAACACATGCGCTACACACTGCACCCAGTGAAAGACGCAGTTGCGGCAGGATACCAGTGAAGTAATGTAACACAGGTAGGACAGGATAACAGTGAAGTAATGTAAGACTGGCTGGATTTCATTCATTTTTCACCACTGCTTGTATTTTCCCCCTCCTTTTTATCCTTCCTTCCAATGCAAAACATTTTTGAATATCTCCGGATAGCCTACATCAGTATGCCTGGCTGTTTCCCCTCTGCCTTTCTACCAAACTACCTTGCATAGGATCCCTGGATAGCCTATATCAGTATGCTTGGCTGTTCCCCCCTCCTTTCTACCGAACTACCTTGTCAACTCTGTTGTAGCTGCATCTCTCGCGCATGTGGTGCTGTGTGTGACACACGTGTTCCCTTCTGTAATTCAGAGCCACGTTATGCAAGCAGTGTAGTGCTACCAGCACTGGGTCCCAACTATCATACTTTCGCCAGGGCAGGGGAGGGGGGGGATTTTAGGCAAAGCAAAACTGAATTTTACAATCAAAACACCTCTTTCTAATCTCAGAGAAAAGACATTGTGAGCTCCTCGTTTTGTTCCTTCATGCTAAGTGTTAATCCACAATGTATTGTTGAGAGAATTCTCCAAGACTTTAGAAAGGTACTAAAGCTTTTAAAGAAAGGAATGTTATGTCTTTTAATGGAAGCTGTCACTCCTCAGCCCCAAGAAACACAACATTGTAGGAAAGAAATGAGAAGGCTGCAGTACAGACATGTCATTTCCGGAGAAAAAGCCAGTGCAAAACTCAATTCCTTCCAGAGGCAGAACAAATTCAAGCACATTTTACTTTGTTTCTAGATTTTTCTTCCTGAACTAGATTAGTAACTTGCCTCCCATGCCCTGAAACTGTCACAAGTGACATTTGGGGACCTTCCAGCGGATCCTGCAAATATCTTGTCTCATTCATATAATTTTACAGGGCTACATAGCAGAGAAAGGCAACTGCCAGACGTTAGCGTGGGACAGTATTGTTCTCTCAGAGGATCTTACACATAACATCACCATTTGAGAGATATTTGTGCACCAAAATGGCCAAGAATCTTGTAGGCTTTAGGGGATGTTTCTGGCAATTTTACAAATGTTAAGCATCTTGATCACCTTTCTTAGGCCTACATGTGTATGTGTTCGCAAGCCTCCAACTGGCAATCCCATGAATATTAGTTTTTAAAGGCAAGGAATACTCAGAGATGGTTTTGTCAGTTTTTTGTCAATTTCTCTAGGGTACTGGAGGGGCTTTGAGCATTGCAAACATTGTTTTGCAGCTGCATGTACCCAACAGAAAATAACATGCCCAAGTTATCTGTACCCCAGGTTAGAGGGGTACCTGTACAGGTGTAGCATGGGATATTTTCCTACCATGCCTTTCATTTTAAAAACAAGAAAAATAAGTTAATGTGGGAAAGCCAGGATAGATGCATAATTCTGGTTGGCAACTTTCAATCTGAAGCACCCTAATAAAATAGGAGCATGAGATGTAGTTGGAAATAAACTGTTGCAGAAGGCCTGAAGTGAAAAACATGATACCCTTGAATACTGGGTAGATGCCACAGGTATCAGTAGTTCCCTGATCCTATACACAATAGAAATGTATCTTCATTTGTAAAAATGAAATACCTGCAGAAAACAAAGTAATGGGTCATATAGCTGGTGGTTCTTTGACTTCCTGCTGTCAGGCATGGATTAAATACCCATTTCCCACTGGAAGAGATATAAACTGATCCTGAAGGATGATCACAAACAGAACTTGTCGTCACACTTTTGTGTCTAAACAAAGTCCTCGAACTCAACATTTTATGTCCGAGATTCACTGTACATGGCAGGCTTCATCCAGCTCATTTTCTTCTGAATTTAGGTGACATTTGGTTGGAATGCTGTGGAGACATTCAGCAGATCGTTCAGCATCTGCTTGAATTGGTTGGTTAAAGGCAGAAAGGGGAGATCTTGGGGTAAAGTCCAGTGAGGCAACAACTTCTTCTTGCAGGTGAGAATTGTTTACCTGGAAAACACATCGAAATTAGATATTAGAGAAACAAGAAAGATATTTAGTTAAGGCAAGGATGCATTTCACTTCCACGTTTAAAGTAGCAAAAAGCTCCTCCTTTGGACAGATACCAGGAGCCCCTGGTGGCGCAATGAGTTAAACTCTTGTGCCGGCAGGACTGCTGACCGACAGGATGCTAGTTCGAATCCGGGGAACAGGGTGAGCTCCTGTCTCAGCTCTAGCTTCCCATGCAGGGACATGAGAGAAGCCTCCCACAGGATGGTAAAGATATCGAAACATCTGGGTGTTCCTCTGGGCAACGTCCTTGCAGACAGCCAATTCTCTCACACTGGTAGCGACTTGCAGTTTCTCAAATCACTCCTGACACACACAAAAATGGGTAGCTGGCATTTCCTTCCTGAAGTATCGGAAAGTTTTTTCCCTCTCCAATTTCTAGTACGTAGTACCAAAGCAGATGATCCAGGCACCCTCTTTTGTTGGCTAATAGAATAATATGCCAGACAAAGGTTCATGTTGGGGCTCTGAAGCCCTTGAAAGCTGGGGGGAAAGGTGATCCTAAATGCATTTTTTCTCACTGCCGCTATAATGAACTAAGTATTTGTCCAAGAAACAAAAATGTACATATGTCCCTTGGTAAAAACCTGTGGCTCTGTGCTCAATTAGCTGAATATGTAAGGTTTCTTAAATCTATAATGGGGTTACATCTTAACTTTTTCCATCATCATACTGATTTCTTTAAAAGTTGTACAATAAGCCGAAGACACACGTATAAGGACTCAGGCAGATATGTTTCATTCTTACTCCATGACTTTCCTAAGCTTTGATAAATTGAAGTACATGGTTCGTTATATCAATTACCTTTTGTAGTTTGCTGCCCTCTGCTGGTGCTTCAAGGTTCTCAGCCAGATCAGCAAGTTCTACCGAGTTACTAGGAAATTGTGAGGTTCTCAAATTTTGATGGCAGGGAGTCATCCCTCGAACTGTTGGACAG